TTTATTTAGACGTGTGTTTTCATGCTTTTAAGTTTGCAAAATGATGAATAAGTTCCTTGAAATAGACCTACATTTTAGCTGCTACTAGATGGTCAAGTTACTTAAAGTTTGGCAGTAGCAAAAGCAGAAGGGAGGGTGGACACAATTTAAGTTCCCCCCCCCCCCCCCCCCACACACACAATTTTAAGCAAACACATTACTGAAACAACAAAATAACAACTGTAATGTTATGTAGACCAAAACTAAATATCACATTAAAAAAAATCAACGCAAGGTCTATAGCCTACTTCTTGGTTTACTTCGGCGTCTACCTCAGCGCCATGCATGTGAGAGGGACTTTTTGTCACAAGGTCGGTCCACTTTAGTGCCTGTATATCTACTGTTTGTGTTATTTCTGATGGATTTAGACCATCAACTACCCACACATCGCTTCTGTCTAACGGGCATAGCTATAATTGGTTTCATAACAAATTGACATCATCATAATAAGCAAATAAATAATGCAATTTAAAAAAATGCCACCACAGACATCAAAATCTCCCTCCCTATTACTGTAGAATGTTAAAGAATGTTTATCCTAACTAGCTTATACGCTGGAGGACGTCCCTTGTTTATCCTAACTAGCTTATTCGCTGGAGGACGTCCCTTGTTTATTCTAACTAGCTTATTCGCTGGAGGACGTCCTTTATTCTAACTAGCTTATTCGCTGGAGGACGTCCCTTGTTTATTCTAACTAGCTTATTCGCTGGAGGACGTCCTTTATTCTAACTAGCTTATTCGCTGGAGGACGTCCCTTGTTTATTCTAACTAGCTTATTCGCTGGAGGACGTCCTTTATTCTATCTTGCTTATTCCCTGGAGGACGTCCTTTATTTTATTTAGTAATCGATTTTAGTGTCTCTCCGTGTGGCGCTTATTAAAACGAATATAGGCGCACTGGATTACACGACCGCCGGCTGGTGCACCTGTGCAATTTGACCGCTGAATAAAGTAGTAGCACTGACCCGCTGCGTCGGACACCAATCAACGAGACTGAGCTTTAAAGATAGCCGCTGGGAAACTCTGGATGGCGAACCGCACCGATTTACTGCCGGCAGGCCGCCTTAATGTGCGTCCTCCGAAATAAAATAAAAAATTAATGGCAGAAATCTTCCCAAAAGTCTGAGTTTCTTTAAGGCACCTTTTCACAAAAGTTGTGAACAAATAAAAACACTGCCTGGAGAATTCTCAACGAGTTCCCAAAGTTTCTTGGATGAAAACCAAAAACGTACAGTGTTAGCAACACCACATTGATTAAAGATTAATTAGATGAACAAATGAAATGTATTTAAGGTAAAATATATTATTAAAACATTGACAAATGTTGGTTGTTTATTAAGATGGGATGTCGAGGAGGGTAGACATTTGGGAGGGAGTTGCAGGTTTGTATATGTGGGGTATAAAAATTTTAAGTCAATTGAGGTTTGTAGCCATGCATTTCAATTTACCGGGGTATGCGCGGTTCTTTCACTATTTTTTACAAATTAATATCTAAAGCGCTTTGAATACTTTTATCATGTTTGGGATATAAAAGTATTGAACAGCTAAAAAATGGTTGAAAACAATTTTGGTTGTCATGGAAACCCAAAAATCCTCCGCCATTTGAAATTTTGGTACTTTTAAAAAGGCTAATGCTTTTTTATTACTTTCTCGTGTATACGAAGTATAGAGAAAGTATTGTAATCGTGCACAAAAATCACTTGAAATTTTAACAATTTTCACCGTATTCCACCTCAGTCCTTCATCACATCCGAAGTATAGAGGACTTATTTTAATCGGGCAAAAATTATCAATCCAGATTTATCAAAATTAAGAGGTTTTATACGTAATCCAGTCTGAAAAACTGGACTTTGCAATTCTGTCCGTATGTCTCTGTGTCTGTGTGTCTGTGTGTGTGTGTGTGTCTGTGTGTAAACACGATTACTTGAGTACCGTTACAGCTAGGTTGATGAAATTTCATATATACGTATTTTATCAAAATCGTAGATCCATATTATCTTTTGAGCGATTTCCGATAACCGGAAGTTGTACTTTTTCTACTCTGAATTTTTCAAGAGCCTATAACTTGAGTACTATTTCAGTTAAATAAATGAAATTTCACATGTAAGTAAAAGATCTAATGTTCTACCTTATGTTAAATTTTGAGTAATTTCCATTGACCGGAAGTAGTAATTTACGCTACTTCCGATTTCTCAAAAAGGTAATCTAAATTTTTAAAGTACTAATAATATTGCGCACTATTATGCACTTTTTAATTTTACATTCACTTGGTGTGCAATTCTTTTGTCTACGAGATTTTATTCTATTTTTAAAACTTTAAGTATTTAAAATTGATTAAAAATCATGTCTATAGCCCGAGTTCCCATCCCCTGTTGTTTTATATAAGAATATTCGAGATAGTTTAGGGGAGATCACTCCCGGTTTATTTATTCACCTATAGCAATAAAATTTAAACTGCATATATGTCAGTATATATTAAAACTTTTGTCACGAAAACTATTTGAAAAGGCTACTACTAAGAATTTTACAAACTCTAAAAAATCGTTCCATTGTTAGTGTTCAAATGTTTCAAAATTTGCATATTAATTACCAAATACTTTTTTTTCTATAAAAGCCATCACAATTCCCTTGTGACAAAAGTTGTATTTTTACATATAGAACAATTACTGAAAATACGGTGGCGATTGTTTAATAAATAAAAAAGTAATAGGCTGTATAGTGTTAAAAACCTTCGCACTGAGAAAAACGGCCAAAGCTAACGAAAAGTAGTTCACGAAAATGCCATGTCGGTGTAAACTTCAAAGCCGATTGTAAGCTTCGGGTGTTTCCGAGATGATGGAAATTAAGATTATCAAATAAAGGAGAAATCCAGCTTTCTAATGATGCCAAATACAATATGATGACGGATATAAAACTTTTCATAGAGAGCGTGTAAGATTGGGAAAAATTGATTATTTTTTATTGATAGGGTCATAAAAATGGTAATTTAAACACCTACATTTTTTTCTCTTTAAAGTTATTATTTTCTTAATACAAACATGGACAAAGTATCCAAAAGTGCAAGAAACACATCATGACGAAAAACAAATAATGTTGTGATTTTTTTTTTGCCGCGCATATTCCCTTAAGGGTGCAGGATGCCAATTTCACTGAGTCAAAGTTCAGGTTTCTGTATAGGCTAATTCTCTCAAGGGCTGGCACAAAGAGTCACAGTTCAGGTTTCTGTATAGGCTAATTCTCTCAAGGGCTGGCACGACAATGCGGCAGTGTCGTAGTGTTATTTTACGAATGGGCCTTGTTCACCCCACCCCTCACAGAACCCCACTGTCAGTACAGTAAGAAAGGACTGTGGACCTTTTTGTAACTTTACATTATTTCTACAGTAGAAAAGAAACTAGATTTTATTTTTATTTTTTAAAAATTATTTATATAAAGCAAATATTAAAATTCAAATGTAAGTTTTATTTTTTTTAATCAAGAAAAAGGGCTATATATGCCGGGGGCCCATTATGCTTTGCTTATGCTTTATGGTAGCCACGCCATTGCAGCAATACACAATCACATGCTCTGACTGGTATACCTGTAATCAGCATGGTTTGAACGTTTAAATTATGACACCTATACAACCCCCTAGGTTTTTTTAGCTTCTTTTAAAAGTTTTACGAAACAATTTACGCAGTTATTAAAATTTGACATTTATTAGTTACGTCCCATTTATATATTTAGAACAAGTATGGTAATTAATGCATACTTTTCATTCTTAATGCCTTTAAACAGAAATTTGATAGCAGTTGAATTAAAATATGATATTACATTCCAATATTTTTTAATAATAGTTATCAAACATTACTGTATGTCCATATTTTATCATGTATGTAAAAATATTAATCTTTAAACTATTGTATAAAGTATTTTGTTGAGGTGCAAAACTTCAGTTTAAACTAAGTTTCTATACTAATATAGATATTCTTTTAATCGTTCTTAACGCATATAATTCCTAACTCGCAAACCTCTAAGAAACGCCAACCTACAGCAAAAAAATGGCCGCTCAATATTACAGCACACCACATAAGTAGAGCCGGAGGCAACATAAGCCCCTAGCACACACAATACTATAATAAAATACAGGTATTTTACTGCTACAAGAAACAAACTTCTCAGACATACAACAAGCACAACACACTAATAATGCAGCACAAAGCCTAGGACAAAAATGCAGAATAACAAATATACTTAACATTTCCAATACGTAAATGATCTGAAAAATGACACCGAATGAAGACTAACCAGCTCAACAATATCAGACAGCACTAATTAACATCTATGCTCCAACCGGTAAACGAGATAAAGAAAACAATGTATATAAACCTGTTAAAAAAATAAATACTTTCTTGGCGACATTGCACAGTTCTCCTATTCAGCATTACAAGGCTATTCGTGTTGACCTCGTGTGTAATAAATAAATTGTAATAAATCTTTAACTTGAGACCCCTTAAGAAGTTAAACAAGAAAAAAAAAATAATAAAAAAAAAACAACATAAAACTAGCTACATTGAAAAGGAATCAAATGAATCACATAAATCAAACAATCTTTAATGGTCTGACACGCACTCATATTACACAAAATACTAAGGATTTAATAAATTAACACGTAAAGAACAACACATTATCTTTACACACAGTAAAGGCCACAACACATTGAAATAACAAGTAAAAAGCTAAACGTTGGTCCTAAACGTTTGGCCAATTGGAAAAAGTAATAACATAAATGAAAACTTTCAACTAAACAAAAACAGAGATACCAGTCGTGTGATTATCAGGAAGTTAAGTAGACATACTCCGGTTGTAGATCAGAGATCTGCTGATCTAAGAGAAACACTTGAGCAGGGACACAAGAAATACTTAATTAAACATGAGAATTGCTAAACATTGCAGTCTGTCTACACACTCCAGTTATTCTCCTCATACTTTGGTTTTCTGATTACCCCTTGAAGGTGTTAAAGGTCGACCTGCGTTCAAACCCCCATAGGGAAACTTTTTCTTGTCAGCAGGCTTCAATATCTGGAAAGAACACATACGTGTTTCATCAACACTCATCATGGCCCAGCATGTTCAACATTCTCCACAGTAGTTAGATGCAGAAAATAATGTTACCAACTGTCGTTTTGCAAAAAATTCATAACCATCCTCTATCACCTGATGAGCACGACATATGAGATCCAAGTCATGCTTATGTAAGGACTTTACCCCCACTTCAGCTCCGAAAGTGAAAGAAACACCCGTGTATTTTTCACCCCATCCCATAATTTCTTTGTCCGGATCAGACCACAAGTCACACATCAGACCTTGATCTGGCACATCAGTAGGTCTCATTATCCGCCTTATCTGCTCCATGGACATACATTTTTTTAAAATAGTTTTTGTATTGACATAAATATCGAAAGTTTATAAGATGAAGGAGTACCATTAATTGAATAAAACGTTATCTACTTATTAAAAATATGCCTAAAAAATATCACGTGTCTAGTTATTAAAGACTAACTTAAACGTTAAATAAAAATAAAAATTATTCATTATAAATATTTATGCAATTTATAAAGCAATGTTTTTAATAATGTAATATTAATACCAACTAATTTAACACAATATATTTTTATTGCTTTCTATTTCATTCACACATGTACAAATATATAAGTTGTGTCCCTTGGTCAGGTCAGGTTTTTAAAATGGGAAGTAACCAGAATCATGTAATATTCATAAAAACTAATAAACGCATGTTTCAGCTAAGTAATGTGTCCACACATTAAGCATTGTGTTGTCAACACGAGTTCAAAAGATGCTATCCTAGCAAATATGGTTGGTCATCCTGTACAATGGGCCAGGGATTTTATACTTGAATAACTTGCCCTATTAACAGCTATAAAATAAATACGAAAAAGCTGATACTTTCGAAATAATTGTATCAAGCCTGTATTTGACCTGGACCTTACGGCCTACCAAAACATCACAGAAAAAGTCAACTAGTTCTGTTTTCGACGACAGGGCGATACAATATTGGAACTAATTTATTTTGTTGAGCTTGTCTAGCTGTTAGGGTTAGTGTTAGGATTAGCAGTCGTAAAATAGCTAGTCTAGTTTTATAATTAAGTTATATGTCCCCGTCAGGGCTAAAATCTTGTTTAAAGATAGGGTGCCGACAGCAAATGTAAATGTGTTTTTTTTCTACAACTATTGGCCGTTTTAACAAAATTACAAACTCATTAAAACACAAGTAGGTTCATATTTCTTGTTTGATGAATTGAAACCTAGATGTTCTTGTCGGAGCATACATAGTTATTGTGAAAGAAATTTTACATTAGCCTATGAAGAAAATAGTAATATGAACTAAGGACAGAGTCCAAGACCGTCGGGTGAGCTCTCATGTACTCTATCATTTTAAAATTTTAAAATTTTAAAATTTTAAAATTTAAAATAAAAATAGAATAAAATGTGATTATTTCTTCGATAATATACAAAATACAAGATTTAAAATGATAAAAAATATCACATTTATAAAATTAAATAACCTAATTAAAAAAACCTAATAAAAACAAACTCATTAAAATCAAACTAATTAAAAACAAGAAAAAAAATAAAAAAATGTGCCCACTCCCACCAACCCCTGCAGTACATCTGCCCCCACCCACACCCGCTATCACGATACATCTGCCCCCACCCCAGGACGTAACACGATATACCTGTATCGCAAAGGTCAAGGGGCGGGGCGGAGGTCAGCAGGGCAGTAGGCCACCCCCACCGCCAACGCCACCACCATGCTACCTAAAGGGGATCTGATATACTACTTACATCAATTTTACGTTAATACAGATTTATGTTGATAGGCTAATTATTTTAAAGTGTGTAACTGCTACACAAGTTTGAATAACACTAGGTAAATTTGTGTAATAATTATTTTATTAGAAACGCGTTATGTTTAAGTCTGTTTATTTGTATGTATATACAATTTGCGCTTACATCACTTCTGTTGTTATTAGACCAAAGATTAGACCAGCTGACATCTGAGACTAAGTTCTACCATTCAATGTTGTATCTGTACATACCATAGCTTATCAGTTTACATCCGTCTTCTACAGTCATGCTTTCTTAGAAATTACCCGATTTGTTTAATTTTAGTCGATCTAAAATAGTTGGTTCCCAATTTTTTTCGAGTGGCGACCCCCTTTTATAAAAAGTAAGTGACCCGCGACCCCTATAGAATCAAAAAGTGCAAATTAGTTAGGAAATTAATAAGCACTCAAATACGATTTTCTAGTAGACTTTCAATATGAATAATTTGTTATAACTATTTTAATGCTATGGGTGAAATTCCATGCTATTCACTAGCCTCAACATTTAAGGTTGAGTTTTTGTTAACGCCAACCTCATGTCTTTCTCAGCATTGAGTTTATTTCTTTGTTTTGTTTTTTATTGGAGAAGTGTTGAAAATCTACTCTCGCAAATATATGTAGACACAAAAGGAACTAGAACTCAAAAGACAATCGATTTTTTTTTTTTGGGTATTAATGGTGCGTATTACACCAAGATTGTTTGAGCAGTTTTTTATTGAACACAATACGTGACGCAGAAACATTCCGCAAATATAATAATTCATCTCGTAATTCTCCGGGAATGCTGGCATCATCAAGATAATCAGAGAGTGGGTTACGTGACCATGCTGATTCTTCTGCTTTCAGCTCTGAGAAATAACGCCGCAATTTGCTTTGAACAGATTCAAGATGCCCAGAATCCTCTTTCAAATTTATTTTTGTTTATCTCACAATCAGATTCATCTACCACACTACAGAGTTTCTCAAACATGGCAATATGTTCAATGTTTATTTTTCTTCGCCAAATTTTGCAGCTTTGATACAAATGCCAAGAGATTATTATGAAAAGAGATAATATTCGTTCATTTTCAGGTTAAGCTTATGTTGATGTTCGAATATATCTGCTAGGTATGCTACCCTACCCAACCACTCTTTGTCGTTAAAGTATATCAAAAAGTCGTTTTTCCCTTGTACTACCAAGAACAACGTTATTTCGTCTCTCATTTTAAAAACACGATTCACAAAATTTCCTATTGACAACCATCGTCTGTAGTGTAGAATTTCGTGATCTTTATTCTTTGCACAGTTCTTTAAAACATAAGGGTGTTTGGGGCTCATATTTATTATAAATCGGAAGTCTTGCGGGCGAGGGCATGCTATGATTTCCCCCAGGTTGTGGAGCTAAATCTTTTAGTTTTATTTTTCCTTACAAACCCCACAGCCGTTTTCCCATTTTAATCATCCAGTTAAAAAAAAAACGTATTTATTTTAACTTAATGATATCTTCACAAAATAGCAACTTTTCTTTGCTACCACATGAATGAATATATTTCACAAAGACAAGCAACTGCTAACACAAACTCACGTCTGTTGACTCATCAACTTGAAAAACAAACAATGGTGAACGTTTGCTTTCATTCAAAATTTATTTTTTAACATCTACGGACATGTCTGCTATATGCCGCTGATTAGCATCATTAGACAGAGATATGTGTAGAGGAAATTACAGAGGTATGGGTTGCTGAACTGGGATCCCCAAGAATTAATTTCACAATCTTCAACATGTAGGGTTTGATGAGATTTTCTCCTATAGTGTGAGAGTTTTTTTTTTTTTTTTGCTTGGGAATTTCTAAAAATGCGACTTCATATGAGCTTGCTCTAATGCTGTGTTTCCTTAGTAAAAACTTCCTGTTCAATCAAGTCTCTGAAGAGAGAACTCCTTATCGTTGTTGGTGTGTTCCGAATAACTAATCTCAAAATGACGTTATAGCTTTGAGGTTTCATAGAGACTGAGAACGACTTTGCACAGTACGCATTGTTTCTTCTCTATTCCATTATCAGTGATGTTAGTAAAGTCAAGTTTCAAGCATTTTTCTAAATATAAACATATTTATGTGTTGTTTTTTTTCATTGCTAGGGTTTAGCTGAGTCTAACAGTTGGCGACCACCCAGAAAGCTCTTGCGACTCCCCTGAGGGTCGCGACCCCCAGTTTGGGAACCCATTATCTAAATAATGAGTGGCTGAAAATCACAATATTGCATAAGTCACGTGTATGCGTTACCTCCGTCAAAAGGGAAAAAAACAAATAATTACTACACAGCATACAATGACACAATTGATTTTCATTTTAAAGACAAAGATGTGAAAGCATGATATTAATACTATTTTTTTTTCGATACCTAATTTCTCAAGTTCTTATAATGAAGCATTTGTAATTTCAATTTCAGTATTTCAGATATGAAAGACACATTAGTTTATGTTTTAATTTCAATTTCCATATTTCATATATGACAGACACATTAGTTTATGTTTTACATTTCAATTTCCGTATTTCAGATATGAAAGACACATTATATTATGTTTTAACCCTTTATCTACTGACGGTACTTATAAGTACCACTTTAATTAGGTGCCTGTATTATTTTTAATTTAATACGAATTTTAAAATTTTTTGAGGTAATTAATAGTATTATCTCCCCTGAGTCGACGGTAGTTGGAGGTATCGATGGTTTTTGAAAATTTCTGGTGTGGCGCCATTTTCAATGTCTTGCTGTATCGGTAGTTCACAATTGTTCTGCACAGTTCTCACACACGTTCCTGATTTCCCTTTGTTTTACCTTATTTTTCAAGTTTTCAACCCCAAATATTTTTTATTGGCACCTTTAATAGTCAGGGAAACGCGTCTAACTTCTAGTTTTACAATTTTTATCAAATTGTCTATGTAATAGATCGATGTTTACAAGTGGACTTATAAGTACCGTCAGGGCACACGGTCATTTTTTAGGATTTCTAGAAAATGGCGAATTTTCGATGTGAAGTGACATAAATATTATTTTGATAATTAATTATCGAAATGTACTCAAAAAATGATATTTACACATTTATAAGAAGGTTAGCATATGTTTTACCATAGAAATAGTGTAATTACATGTTGATTTCTAGTAGTAAAAGAATAACAATAATAAACGTAGCAGTTGCAGGCTCATTTACTAGGTTTAGTATACTTCATTTGTATACCAAAGCCTAGTTCAAGTAGTAATATTTAATTTGTTAGTTATATTTACTGCAATAAACTGTCTTGCCTACAATAACTAGCATTTACGTAATGTATACAAGTAGACTAGTAATAGCCCATATTTCTGCATATAGTATAGATCTATATGGTACATTTTAATCAGCAAACAGAAAACAGTAGGCCACTACGACTATCCTAAACACATTGAGCTCACTTCTATTTATGAACTTTACACTGTAGTGTAGACTTGTATAATTGTAGCCTACTAGAATGTTATTACTAGTATTACTAG